CCTAGAATAAAAGTAGGCACAAAGTGAGACAGTAAAAAATCAAAGAAACAATTCCTCAGCAAAAAGGAAAAAATGAGGCAGTCTAAGCCTATTACCTATTCTTACATTGTAGACCAGGAAGAAAACATCTTAACATCATTCCCAAATTTTTCACATATTTCAGCTAGCGTATCGAAGAACGCATTTCAGGGTCTTAGTAATGTAATCTGCGTAAGTGCACCGGATTTGTCCTCGAGGTATTTCTTTCGCAATTAAGGAAACGATGAGGCACGCTCACTGGGTCAGCATGGAGAAGAGATGGTACGGAACGACAGAACTAGGGCTCACTAATAGATTGGATACTTGTCAATAATCGTTCGTGTGCAGAGAGGCTCCAGGACTCCGTTAGTGTTCGGAAGGGAAGCAACACCAAAAGAAGCCTGTTTATTTAGCAAATAAACCAATCAACTACAGTCCCGATTCGCAAATGGAGCAATTTTACGATAATTTCATCGAATCCAATCGGTTGAGCCGAAGCCCATTTGGATGAAGCGAGATAAAGATATGACAGCTGAAAGTGCAGTCGAAGAGAAAAGGGAGAATTTCAATAGGCTAGGGTTGCAAAACATTGTGACGATGCACGAGCGACACTGCCTTATGACACTCAGCCACATCGACAGGTGTCTCTAACCATTAATTACAATGGTCCCGAGGTCCCAATCCACGGAGCCTATGTGACCCGGACTCCTGGTTACTGTTTTAATACCCTCATGGTAAGTTTGACTTTTCCCAATCCACTACCTGCCCTAGTAAACATAACTCGCCGTGGCGACCTCTTTGATGCCATGCTTAACACATGCCCCAACCAACGTAATCTACGGAGGTTGACCACCATGGATTATGCCGGTTGGGACATGTGCTACGCATGTCACCAGATAGGTTGCCACGGCGAGCGATGTTTGGCGAGGCAGGTAGCTGTTGGAAAAAAATGAAAGGCGGTCAAGCTAAGACCTGGCATGAGGGTATGAAGACCCTAAGCGAGAGACTGGCTCACATAGGTCCCGTTAGGCTCCCTGGCTGGGGACCCAGAGATCATGATCACCGGTGGTTAGCTACACTGAGTGATATGGCTGGGTGTCGCAACCAGTGGTGCTCATGCATCCACCATTATTCTTGTAACTGCAGTCTATGAAAATGTGCTACCTTCCGCTTAAATCTGCTCTCAACATTTTAATCATCATTCTGCTGTTTTATCCAAATGATCAACCAAAAGACAGCAACCAAAACCAGCGCACGAAAGTGCATGGTTAATGGTTGTAAGAATTGAACTGAACTGATACGCTGAAATGATGAACAAACAACTTTTGGTGTTGCTTTCCTTTCGGAAGCTGATCGACCCATGGAGCCGCATCGCAAATAAGCGACTGTTGACGAGGATCTAATCGATTAGTGACGCTTTAGGTGTTCTACTTTGTAAGATGCCTACACCACGCTGACCTTCAGAAAGAGCTTCGTGGTGCGGAGGAATTACCTCGAAGATAAATTCCGATAGTACTAGGACCCTCGATTCGCGTCTCCGATATGCAGCAGCTATCAAGCTCCAGAGTCCATTGTAAGAACTAGATACGCTTGTTGACCCACCTGCACCAGAGTCCTCACGTTGAAGGCTCCCAGATGAAGCGAATGACAAGGCTTCATAATCCGCAATGTATTTTGTGGTTAACTAATAACTGCGCTACACAGTAACGAACTTTCCTGAGTGAAGAACAAGTTGTCTAGGGGAATGGTACGGGTCAGAAGAAGAGGCATAGGGAGAGGGTTGAGTTTGGAGGACAAAGGTTTGAACAAATGTAGGGATGTCTGAGCAGTAGCTCACTTATCACTACCCACCCCGCTCGATGCAATGGGCAGCGCGGTTCTGATTAGACTGCGCAACAACCAATGAAGTAAGAGAATAATTTTAGTTTGTGTATGGTTTGGAGTTCTATGGATGGGAACTACCGGTTGGCAGAATGATTAGCATTCTCACTGAAAGTTTTCAGTTCTAAATGGAACCTGACCGCAAGGCACTGGGTAAAACGAAGTGGAGGCCTATTCACTTGGATCGATTACTCCACCATTTTACCGACTGAGACGCTCACTGGAGTCGACCCACTGTTTGACCTTCCCGATTTCAGTCATCCTGCGTAGGTCATTGGGTCAAACAGGTGCACAAGCCATCACATCACGTCAAGGTTCAGCTTATTCGTAATACCACTAATCGTTCCGATCTTCAAGAAAGGATTACCCAACAACTGCGGAAACCACAGTTAGATGAGTTTCAATCCCGATTGCCACTCAAGTGTTATCTTCTGTGGTGCTTTACTGCCTGACACCCTCAAGGAAGGTGAACATTCGCAACAAGCAAAATTCCGACCAAGTTGCAATTGCGTCGACCAAATATTCACCACACGCCGAACCCACGATTCATGGCATGCACATCTCCGACCAACGATTGAAGCGTTCCCTGACCTGAAATGAGCCTTCAACTCGGTTGACTCTGAATCCTTCACGGATTCACTGCTTCGCGAAGCAATAAACCAGAAGTATGTTCATGGGGCATGAAGAAATGCACAGCGTGATTAGGTAGAGCAGGTGTTTCGCGTCTTGTAGGTGGTGGTCTAAAAGACTCCGTAACTGGTTGGAAGGAGATACCGAAGGACATGGCAGCAAACCCATAGCAGTGGTGTTCTTGTCGCTTCTTAGCAGATGAGAATACTTGAACAGGTGTTCTCGCCTAGCTAGGTTGTGCACTCGGTGCTGACCATAGAGGTTCGTTTTCTTTTTTTACCTCACAAACCGTCCAATCCCTGTCTGTCTTCAACATCCCCATTTTGTGTACAATGTGAGTTTAGCAGTGGTCAGGGGAAGTTAATTCACCGA